TCTCTTCCCTTTACTTTTCTTTCTTTTCCCTTCTGTTGCTACTTCTTCCCTTTACTTTTCTTTCTTTTCCCTTCTATAGCTAATTCTTTCCTTCCCTTTTCTTTTCCTATTGCAATTTCCATTTCTTCTATAACGGCCCTGGTATCAACAACTACCTGACTGCCACAATATACACTAATTATTTCCCTTCCAGCATTCTGAATATGATCCTTGTGCAAGTGTGGCAACTTATATTGATTTTCTCCTTTGTCTTTCATAACTTCAAATATAACTGCTTCTAATGTGATAAAGCTTCTGTGCAACTTGTGGGGATCATAGTTCTGGAATTCCTCTTCCACGCCTTGTACCAGTTCCTAGATGTTTGTAGATGAACTGCAGTCGGTTAGAGACTGGAGAGAGTTATGGAAGCAGAGGTCCAAACAATTGAACTCAGGGCTATTTGGGGGCTGTTGTAGCAATCAGATGTCAAGATCAGCTTGTTCCACAGCTTCTCGAAAAGCTACATCATTACGAAGGACATGAGGCTTTGCGTTATCCTGTTGGATGAATATTGTTGCTCTCTCATCATCGTTAGGCCACTTATCTTGAATTGCTGGGATAACCTTATCGATGAGATAATCTCTACACACAGGCCTGGTTACTTTCGCTGATTTCAACACATTTGTTCCCTTTGCTCTGTTCTGACTTGTCCGCACCGCCTCAGTCTCTTCAATGAATGCCCAAATGCCGATCTTCCAATCGAATGTTAGCTCCCCCTCATTGTTATACCGAGGCCTGGCCACAACTATTAGGAACATTACCTTCCCAATGTTGTTAGTGTTTGACATGGTGCGCTTGGGTTCAGGTTCTCTTGGAAGTACATAGTAACTATTCTTCAATCTCGTCATGTCAAACCACTTTTCATCGATGTGAACCATATTGGTCATTGGCTTGAATTAGCCCAAGAAGTTGATATCGAATTGTCATCGAGCATGGACATGCATAATTTCAATCTCGCAAGCTTGTTCTCTGGCTTGAGGTGAGGCTTCACGGTGCTTGTGATGCGGTTGAGATCATTCAACTGGAACCTCTTATGTAGGGTCGATCGGGCCACACCTAGAGACCGTGCCAGAGATTGAATTGTCCTTCTTTTATTTAGTGGGATTGTTGAGGTCCTCGCTAGATCCAGCTCCTTTCTCTTCCGACCAGCTCTTCCTGTCTTCTTGCTTGAGACATCTACTTCTTTGCCATCGGCAACCTTCTTTTTGGCGTCTTCCCAGATTCTTTCAACAGATCATACACTTATGTTCAACAGGGTTGAGACTAGCAGCTTGTCATCTGGTTGAACAGATCCATCTCTGAGCTCGATTACTAGCAAGGCGAAGTAAACACCATGCCTCTCCTTATTTGACAATTCTCTTCTTTTCTCTTGAAGTATCCAATTCATAACTTCATCCTCTTCCTCTTCATCTTCTTGAGGCATCCAATTCCTAGCTTCATAGTCTTCCTCTTAAGGCATCAAGTTCAAATCCATAGCTCCATTCTCTGCCACTTGAGGTTCCTCCTCTTTAGGGATCCAATTCAAATTAATACCTTCATCGTCTTCCTCTTGATGCATCATGTTCAAATCCATACTCCTGCTATCATTGACAAAAGATGACTACATCATGGTTTATAGCAGCACGAAGAGATTACAGCAAGCAACAACACAATAGGTTACTAGTGAACTTTTACGCACAAGTAAGCTTGGTTTTTACAAGCACACGTGAATTAGCATCAATAACTATGATCAAAACTTTCTACATCCTGAGATAAGAGATGTGCAACCAACATGCATGCATTTGTGTTTGATGAATCCCCTCCATCACTACACACAAAATAATTACGGGATCATGTGTGAATCTCTGACAGCAATGTAAACTAAGATCATACTCCCCTTTACTGAAAAGAATTCAGTTAACACTATTTTTGCAGAATTGTTGTTGTCAGTTAACTAAAACTACAGCACATTCCAATCAATTGGCTGCAGCCTGCAGGTATATGTATATGTGCTCTAATTGAATTTGAATGATTCACATAACTGAATTTATATGTACTCCACTTTATACCCAAGCTTTCATTAAGTACTTTATGTTTGCTTATTTTTGGTTTTTCTCTCTGCAGGAAATACTTTGGCATGGTACAGTTTGACCAGCCACAGGACCAGATCAGTTAAGCTACTCCTTTTAGTCTACATCAAGGTACATATCTTTTAACTAAATTTTAACAGTCTGGTGTTGTTTTCACTAAACAAAGCCATTTTACAGAAGTTGCTTTCATAAGTTGCAAACAGTACTCCAAACTAGCAGTACCAAACTGAATTTTGTACTCCAAACTTTCATAATTTCTGGAGTACTCTAAACTAGAGTAATTCCAGCAGTACCAAACAGTACTCCAAATTTGCATATGTTTAGTGACTGCATATGTTCAGTGACTTAACAATTTGACAGTTAGCAAGGTACAGTGATTGTGTATGTTCAAAATTAGCTGATCTGCTCTAATTCCACAATCCTAGCAATTATTGATCTAGACAAACATTCAATTTCACCAGATGACTATCAGTTTCACCGTGAAAATTGATAGTAAATTTTAACAGTTTGGAGTATAGATTAACTGAAACCTGACATTTTAACTGAATTTTACGTTCTTCCTTCCTTAGGAACACGAGCTCTGGAGGCAACACAAGGAGCGGGCCAAAGGAGCACAAGGCAGCTGCTATTGGAGCTTTGCTACTGCTGACAACACGAATATCGAGCTGCGGATCAATTTCACTCTGTATCAACAGAGGAGCACAGACAAGCGAGTTGCGGATCAATTTCACTTTGTATCACAGAGAAGCACAGACAAGGGATATGCGGATCAATTTCACTTTGTATCAGCTGCAGGATCAGAGCGGAGTAGCAAAGGTAGAAGCAGAGGCCTCGGGGGTCGAGGGCGGGGATCGGAGGGCATCGGCAGTAGAGGCGTCGCCCGCCGCCACCACCTCAACCAGCCGACGGGCCAAAGTGGACTAGTGCGGCGGCAGGGAGCGACAGAATCGTGGGCGGAGTGGACCAGCGCGGCGACGGTGGCCGGCGGAGGACCCGCTCGTCGGTGGCCGGTGGAGATCCTCCTCGTCGGCGGGCCGCGGAGATCCTCCTTGTGGGCAGCGGAGGTCCTGTTCGTGGGTGGGCTCGTTGGTGTCTCAGGAACTACTCGTCGACGGCTCGGGACCTTCCCCTGGAGACGGCTGGCCGCGGCAGGTAGCCGTGGCGATGCGGGCGACGGGAAAAGGAGGAAGGAGATGAGGGCTTAATTTCTAGAGATTTGAAAGTGGAAGGACTAAAATGCAAAAAAATGTACTACCCCGCGACATGAATTTCGGGACGGAGGGAGTAGTAAAGCAAATAGGTATTCTTCGTCTCTTGTGGCGTTTTGCGGAACCCAAAGTTTTCTGGTAATAAACCCGCGGTGCTGGTTTAAATTAAAAAACAGAATAAATATGTGCAGGGTGGGAGTCAAATCCACGACCTATGCACGTTATACCTGAGCCAATAACCACCTGAGCCCAGTGCAATTTCTTTTTACTTGATCTCTGCGTAATAATAAAGCAGCTAATATTTCTAGTGGTACGATATATAATTTATTCTATAAATTGTCAAAAATTACCCACCAATGCCACTCGTAAGTCAAAAAATGATTCCTTTTTTTTTCAAAGTCGCCGCCGTGCTAAGTTGTTTTATAGAGATGATACTCCATATATCTCACACACACAGAAACAGCGCAGGGCTACAGCCTGTCTAATCCACCACGGACACCAGGGTTCGATCCCCAGGTTTCGCTGATTTTCCTCCTCTTTTTGTCAGGCACCTCCCCTACCCAACCCAGTGCACGTTCATGAGCCGGCCCGCAGGGCGTGACACCCTTGTTTTTTTCTTTTTGCATTTTGTCTTTTGTCTTTTGTCTTTTGTCTTTTCTTTTCTATTTCTTTATTTTTTTTCCTTCTTTAAATTAATTTGCGAATTTTGAAAAACATGTTCGAGAAATCATAAAATGTTTGTGATTTCAAAAATGTGTGGAGAATCATAAAATTTTCGCAGTTTCGAAAATATTAGTGATTTTACAACTGGTCGCAAATTATAAAAATAAACACAATCTGGAAAGAAATGTCAGGAAAAAACCATGTTCATGATTTTGAAAAAATAATCGTGTATCCAAAACAAATTCGTGAAGCTGACAAAAATATCCATGAAATTTTAGAAAAGGTTGAAAAAACTCAACAGAAATGCGAGTTTGTGGTTCATGAGATTCGTTTTTAAAGTGTGTCGTGTAGTGGCAAGCTCATTGCCTTGAGATTTACCATGTCGAATATATTGCAATCACATGGGCATCGCATCCATCATCAGCGAGGATGGGAAGAAAGATAAGTGGCAGTATAGCGAGTAACGGTGTTAAAATAAAGGACGCTCATATGTCAGGGTATTGAGCCATACTTATTTGGCTAGAGTATATTTTTTTATCCCCGGGTTCTGCAAATTTCTCCCCTCTTTTTGTCACACACCTCCCCTCCCACAGTGCACGTTCATGGGCCGGCCCGTAGTACGTGACACCCCTATTTTTTCCATTGTCTTTTGACTTTTCTTTTCTCACTTTTTGCTTTTTCCTTCTTTAAATTAATTCAAGATTTCCAAATTTCAAAACATTGTGAATTTTGAAAAACATGTTCAAGAAATCATGAAATATTTGTGAATTAAAAAATGTGTGGGAAATCATAAAATTTTCACAGTTTCAAAAAATATTAATTATTTTACAAAACTGTTCACAAATTATAAAACATGTTCATAACATGGCGAGTCACTGTGTTCAAATAAAGGACGCTCATACGTCAGGGTATTGAGTCATACTTATTTGGCTAGCGTGTATTTCTTTTTCTCTCCCAACGCACGGGCATGATTAGTAAATAAATGCAACTCAGGCCCGTCCCTCCACAGCCATAGGCAACGTCAATGCTTTCCTTTGTTCTTCCGTCTACTCGTGTCAACCTTCTTAGTCTTCTTGCTTTTGCTGAATTGCCTCTTTGGTGGCGGCTTCTTCTTCACGCCTAAACTGGGCTGCTTCTTGGCACTAACCACACCGCAACTCTTCTTAGCATAGCTCCTTGACACGGATTTCTGGTCATCCTCCTCTCCATGAGTAATTTCACTGGTGACTACTGTTATTCTAGTCCCGCCATCTTCATATGTCTTGATTTCTACATAAGCACCAAATCAATCAAGGCACAATAGGATCAACAAACATCATGCCAGTAACTGCTGTAAAATTAATCTCATCCCTCTACTCACCAGGCGCAGCTGCATCCATCCCATCACCATCACCGTCTTCACCATCCGCATTTTCTGATGACACGACTTTACCGTATAGAGCAATCTCTTTCTCTTGCTTTCTCTGGAAATACATAAAATGACACTGGTCAGTAAACCCTTCAAGTCTTGTTCATATTATTTATGTGACAGAAACGCTAGATAATCTACTTGAAATGACAGTAAGCCCAGATTCAGTGCTGTCCCTACCATTCCTGTTTCATCAAATCATCCATCAGTCTAACAGAGAAAACTGGTTTCTTGCATGTTTTCCCGTACCAGAAAGCACACGGTCGAGCTCTGAGGAATGCGTTGTGTATTCCGCAGCTCTAGGCATCTTCCCTTCAACATACCACCCAACACAACAAATCTTTGCAGTACCCTTTCCTAATGTTCCACTATCAGTTATTGGTAGCATTAACCCAAGAAAAATGCACCCCATGTTCCAATATGAAAAATATTAACCATGTAGGATACAGCCATTCAGCTTTTCATTCATTCTGATGATACACTTCTTCCTAGACTTCTCAAAATGTTGGTGCGTAAGGAAACCCTTCAACTAGAAGGATCCTACAGTCTGGTGGGCACATAATAATAGAGGAAACGATGATCAATCAACCTTCTCTTGGAAATCTTTGCTTTTGACCAACTATTACTAAATCAATAAAACATCCAAAGAACAACAAGAGCATCTCGAACAGATGATGTAAAACAGCCGCGGTGCCCAAAAAACTGTTGTTTGGGCACTTGGCACAAAAAAACAGCTCCAACTGAAGATGTTGTATTCAGTGATTGAAAAAAATTTGAGCAGCCCCAAGTGCTGCAAATATCCACCGGCTGCCTCAAAACACAAACACAGCTGCACGAACTGCAACTGCCACGCTGAAGTTTCCCCCGCCACCACCAAACATCGATTCCGGCTGGATCTCGCCGTTGCAGCCACCGCCGCAAGTCCACCGCCCGCCCCGGCCCAGCCGCCACTCTACCGCCCATTCCCGCCGCTCCGGACGCCCGCAACAACCCCCGCCGCCGTCGCTGGTTCAGGATCCGCCGAAGCCCGATTAGCAGCAATTCCAGCCGTTCCCCGCCCACCACCGCCCGAAATGGCCGCGTAGCACTGGTGCTCACCTTGGAGATCCATTAGTGGCACCGTGACCCCCACATGACCGCCGCTACCACCGCAGAGCTACTGCTCCTTCAGAGCTCTCAGCTGTCAGACGACGAGGCGACGGCGGTTCCTGCCGCAACCCCCAGCTCGTCGACGTCATGAAGACCGCTGCTCCTTCGGTGCACCACCCCTGAGCTCATTCCTAGCTGCGCCGGCGACCGCTGCTCCTTCGGTGCACCACTCCTGAGCTCATTCCTAGCTGCGCCGGCGACCGCTGCTCCTTCGGTGCACCACCCCTGAGCCCATTCCTAGCTGCGCCGGCGACCGCTGCTCCTTCGGTGCACCACCCCTGAGCCCATTCCTAGCTGCGCCGGCGACCGCTGCTCCTTCGGTGGCCACTAGGTGTTCGGCAAAAAGCTTCTAAGGTAAAAATAATTCATTTTTCCGTTTTTTTATTGCGATGTAGGAGTCGATTGTGATGGAAAGTATTGTGTTGTAGATGAGTTCATTTGAATTCTCTTTGTGGGATGATTCCTCCTCCGAAGAGGAATATGAGTGGGCCGAAGGGGAGGATATTGCTTTGATTACGATGGTGCACATGGAGAGGAACAAGTGGCACCAAAATTTAAATCATCCGTTGGAGATGCTCTAAGAACACAGAAAAACAGAATGCTGTGTGAGAGCTTCTCACCTTCTTGCGTGCCTCGATTCGCTTCCGTCTGTCCTTCTCCTGCGTAATCCTCTGCGCCTCCTTTCTCCTCTTCTTCTTTCTCTTGTGAAACCCAGTCACGAAATCCCTATAGTCCAAGATTCGCGTTAGAAAAAATTAAGAGCCCACGCAAACACAAATCGCACCGTGCCGCTACAGCCCAGAGACCGAAGGAGGTTGCGGTACCGTACTTGAGGGCTTTCTTGTCGAGGGAGACGGAGAGGGCCTTGTTCTTCAGGGCGCGCTTATTGATGTGCTTTGGGACCATGAACGTTGGCATCTGCCCCACCACCACATCCTCCCCTTCCTCCTCCGACGCTTCCATATCCTCCTCGTGCTCCTCTTCCAATCCCTCTTCCTCCCACGCCATGGCCAAACCTTTCCTCTCTCTCTCTCTCTCTCTCTCTCTCTCTCTCTGGTAGAGACGAGGAAGCGCCGCCGGCTTTGGAGAAGGGGGGCGTAGAGACGAGGAAGCGCCGCCGGCTTTGGAGAAGGGGGGCAACTAGGTTAGACGATACAGAGGTACACAAGTATAGCTGGCCAAACGGGCCGCCAGACCAAACAGGCCAGCCCGCTAGCACGCCGGCACGGCCCGCCATGGGCCAGGCATGGCACGGGCTAAATGGGCCGTGCCCGACACGTGGCACACCTTGGGCCGTGCTTGGGCCTGGAGCCTGGGCACGCGGGCCGGCACGGCACGGCCTATTTAATTTTTTATATATTTTCCAGAATTTATATATATATAATATAGTCCAATAGACCTAAAAACCAGCCCAACACACTGAAAATGTGCAGCCCAGCGTGCTAAATGGGCCATCAGGCCGGCCCATTTACTACTCAGGCCGTGCCTGGCCAAGGAGCAGCGCCCGTTGGCCGGCCCGGCATGGCCCGGCCATTAAACGTGCCATGGTGGGCTGTGCCGAGCCAGGCACGATTAGCACAGGCCGTGCCGTGCCGTGCCGGACCGGTCCGTTTGGCCAGGTCTGTACACAAGTCACTATCCTCAAAAAAAAGGTACACAAGTCACGTGCGATCCGTGTGAGTAAGGTGCAACTTTTTTTTTGAGGGAAATGAGTAAGGTGCGACTTGTGATAAGTTCGTCGCAAAACTCCTATTCTACATACCCCCTCGCTAAAAATATAATTTACGGTTGGTTTTCTTTGAAGGAAAAAGTGTGTACCATCGTCTTATATTTTGAGACACATAGAGTATATGTATAATAAAGAAAATAAAGCAGAAATAAGCATAATCTCTAGTTCTAACAAGGACAGACATGGATAATGCAACTTCAGTACGATAAGGACATCTCCGGCCACGCCCCCAAGAAGGCTTCCCAGGTGTTTTTTCGTCCGTCGGCGTCAAAAAATCGGCCCAGTCGCGCCCCCAAGAGCCCAGTTTTCGCCGGCTCGGGCCGAAATTGGCGCCGGCGGACCCAACCCGAAGCCGGCGCGCTGGGGGTCGCTTGGGGGCGCCGACCAAATCGTTTTTGGCGCGAAGAGCCGCGGGCCCGCCGCGTCAGCGACTCTACTCTCTTCTCGCCCCTTCATCGTCCTCATCGCCTCGTTTCCCGCGGCGAATCAATGCCAAAGCTGCCGCGCGCTGCCGCGCCGGTCAGCCTCCATTGATGCCTCACGGGCGACGCAGTGAAGGCTGGGCGACGCAGTGAAGGCTGGGCGACGCGTCCCTCGGCCGCCACGCAATCATGCCACGCGTAACGTGCCAGCCAAGCCTACCACGCGGCGTCTCCGCCTATAAAAGCCGACTGCAAGCGCGCCGGAGAGACTCACCCCGATCATCCACCGACGACGCGCTCATTTCTCCCCCTTTCCTTCTCTCGCCGTCACCAGTTGAGAAAGCATGGCCGAGCGTTTCCCAGGCGACGGCGCGGCGGCGAACGGATTCGGACGCCGTCATCTGCACGAGGACGAGGCTCACCTCCTTTTCGAGGCCGAGTACCCGGTCCCATCGGACATGCGGGTGCCCGGGGCATGGAGGATCAGCGCCGGCGGTGTGCCGGTGCCCACGGTACCCACCGGCGCGGCACGGCGTGCGGAGATCACACGCATCCGCTCGTCCCTGCCGCGTGCGGCTAGGGAGGGGCCCCGGTACGTCCCCGACAGCCCAATCTGGGAGCCGTACTTCCGTCGCTGGCACGACGAGCAGCTCGAGGCCACCAACGGCGTCGTGCCCTCCGGCAGGTTCAACGCCACCGGCCGGCATCGGTGGTGGGGCGTGCCCGGGCGCACGTTGGAGTCCGTCCTCGAGTACATCGAGGGCGGCAACACGCTGCGCCTCGAGTACCCCACTCCCCCGTCCTTCTCACGCCGCCGCCGGGAAGCTCCTGGACGCCGAGGCGCATGGAGACCGGGGTGTCCTCCTCCTCGTCCGGCGGCTCTCCCTGCCTCCACCTCCGCCCCGTCAAGCCGGAGCCCCAGGACACGCCTGCCAGCGCGCGTACCCGTAGCTCCGGCGGCTCTCCCTACCTCCACCTCCGCTCCGGCACCCTCGTCGAGCCCAAGGTGGAGTCCAGCCTTCCCTCGGAGTATGAGGAGATAGCCCGGTGCGGCTTCTCCAACGAGGACGCCATGCGGTGGTCGCACGACGACTACCTGCGCGAGGAGATGATCCGGCAACGCCGGGCCCTAGAGGAGATCGCCGCCCGCAAACGTGAGCGCGAGGACGAGGACGATGTCGTCGTCCTCGATAGCGACGACGACGACGCCCCCGGACCGTCCAACCTGCCGCGCCAACCGAGGGAGGGATGCAGCAGGGACGACGGAGGCTTAGGCGGGGGCGACGACGGCGGTGGCGGTGGCGGTGACTACACGCGGTTCTACAGCCTCCTCGGCATGTAGAACCGCGTGGGCGGGCGGCGAGGCGGGCGGCGAGGAAGACGGCGGGGGTAGCCCGCGATAGTTTTTTTCTTTTTTTTTGTAAAATATGTTTAAATTTGAACGAACTCGCCCGTATTTGCGTTGTGTTTGCGCCGAATTTGAACATTTTAAAAACCCGTGGGGGCGCGACTGGGGGGCATCATGCCCCCAGTGCACGGTTTAGCGCCGGTGCGCTCCCAGAGGGCGATTTTTTGCCCCTCCTGGGGGGCCAACGGCTGGAAATGCCCTAAGCTTTGGATGATTTTTGTCTGTACTCGACTCTAGACAATTGGTGTGGGTTGCAATCCAATATAGAGGTTCAAGTTGGAGCAAACATATGCCATGAGTTAGATCTTTTTTTTGCGGGGTAAAGGGGATTGTATTAGTTAAGTATAAGAAATGTTACAATCCCTGAGGATGAGGTCTTGAATAGATTCAAGACCTGCTCCTAACCATACCACAGTACGATTCTCTTCACGGCCGAATTTTGCAAGCAGGTGGCTCGCATGGTTCTGGGCTCGGGGTATCTTTTTCAGGCTTGTACACCGGTCTGACGCCATATGATGCTTGATCTCACCCACAAGCTGGCAGAGAGCAGAGCCATCCCGGCTGGGACTATTAACCATAGCAACGAGCTCCGCTGAATCAGACTCCACCACAAACTGATGTGCACTCCACTGCATCGCCAGATTAATTCCTTCCAGGCATGCACTCATCTCAGCTTCTAGGGCCGAACTACAGCGATGGAGGACGCGGCAAGACGAGAAAATTATCTGACCCATCCAGTCTCTCAGTATCATTCCGGCGCCCGCCGCCCCTATCGCGGGGATGAAGGAGCCATCCACATTTAATTTGACCACCCCAGCTGGTGGTTTTGCCCAAGGAATTGGCTCATCCGACTGTACCATTGGCTGCACCGGCAGAGGAGGTCCATCCATAATCCCTTTTCCTTTAATAATTTTCTCAACGGACTCGGTCTGGATCAGCTTCAGGGATCGCATGTAACTACATAGGTAGCGGCGGGATCCTTCAATAGTTGGCAGCGGCTTATCATGAGTAACCTCATTCCGGGCATGCCATGCGCGCCATAGCACCATCAGGACATGCGCACATTCATCCGCAGGCAGCGAGGTGACGAGTTCAGGGATCCAGTCCGGTGGCAGCTGCTGCATGGTTGCATGTGAAGGTAAGCGCCACACCTCCTGCATGGCATTCCAAAGGGCATACACATGCGGGCAGAAGTACAGGGCATGTCGGAGATCCTCTTTTGCATGGCCGCAAATCTGACAGTAGCCAGTCACCCGCATGCCCCGGTACTTCTTGTTCACTTCAGTTGCAAGAGCATTTGACATAGCACGCCAGCCAAACGTCCGGACCTTGGGTGGTACAGGAAGATTCCAGAGTTGCTTCCATACTTGCCGCTGACCGTCCGGCTGTGCGCTAGAAGATGCCCAGCTCATCGCCTGATCCTTGAGACGCATACCCAGCTTGTAAGCACTTCTCACGGTGAAGATACCGTTTTTTCAGGATTCCATGCCAAGAAATCTGATTCCTGCCGTGGCGATGTTCTAATCCGCAAGATGGCCTCCACATCAATCGGGGCGAAAGTCGCTCGAATTTTTGATTCATCCCACACTCCGTGTTGATCCAGCAGACTAGAGACTCGGTTTAGGCGAGAGCGGCCTCGGGGGCTAAGTGGCTTAAGCGTTGATGAGCGAGGGATCCAGTTGTCCCGCCATATCCGAACCGAAGCTCCGTTTCCTATCCTCCATATCATCCCTTCCTTGAGTAGCTCAAGGCCATAAGCAATGGCAGACCAAGTCGACGATGGCTGGCCCGCGAACACTGTGTCCAGAATATTGCCTTGAGGGTAGTATCGTGCCTTGAGCACGCGGGCACACAAACTATCCGGGGATTGGATTAGTCGCCACGCTTGGCGGGCCAGAAGAGCTTGATTGAACACCCGCATGTCCCTGAAACCCATGCCTCCCTGCGCCTTGGTTCGTGTCATTTTACCCCAACTCAACCAATGCATCTTCCTCTTCCCGTTCTCTTCACCCCAAAAGAAGTTCCGGATCAGCTTGCTTAGATCATCGCAGACTGACATGGGTAGTTTGAACACTCCCATAAGATATGTGGGTAGTGCTTGTGCCACCGCTTTGATTAAAACTTCCTTCCCACTCTAAGAAACATAATTATCTCCCCACAACATGATGCACTTGGTGAGACTCGATTGAAGGTTTTCGAACTTGCCCCTGTTCATGCGACCTTCTGGAGTTGGGAGCCCCAGATATTTGGACTCAAAAACCTGCTTTTCCACCTAAAGTGTTTGGCGTACTGCTTGTTGGTCCGCTGGTGAACAAAGCTTACTGAATTCAATTGAGCATTTGGTAGGATTTATGAGCTGGCCTGTGCAAGTGGCATAAGTGTCAATGACATGCTTAACACGGGCTGCTTGCTCCTCTGTGGCCTTGAAGAATAAAAGTGTGTCATCTGCGAATAGGAGGTGGGACACTCCTGGTGCACGGCGGCAGACTTTGACCGGTGTTATACCCCTGCTATTACCTCGGACTGAAGCAAGGCAGACAATGCATCAGCAACAAAAAGGAATAAAAACGGGGATAGCGGATCACCTTGACGAAGGCCTCTTGATGGGGAGAATGCTTCCAATGGTGCTCCATTAAATTTTACCGAGTATCTCACCGTGGTCACGCACACCATAATCCATTGTACCCACCGGTGAGCAAAGCCCATCTTTTGCATTGCCTCCTCCAGAAACCTCCAATCAACACGGTCATAAGCTTTAGACAAATCGACCTTGTATGCGCAATACTGATTTTGTGGTGTTGCTCCATGCTCCAGGAAATGAAGACACTCAAAAGCGAGCAGGGCATTATCTGTAATGAGCCTGCCTGGGATAAAGGCGCTCTGGTTTTCTGAGATCATCTCACCGAGAAGAGGACGTAGTCTATTTACCAAGCACTTGGACACCACCTTGTAAAGAACGTTGCATAAACTTATAGGCCGAAAGTCCTTTAGTTCAGTCGGGTTGTCTACCTTCGGGATAAGCACGATAGATGTTTCATTGATCCCCTCTGGCATGTGTCCTGTTTGGAAAAACTTTATCACTGCATGAACGATGTCCGCTTTAATCAAGCCCCAGTTCCTTTGATAGAAGCGAGCCGGTAGACCATCAGGCCCCGCCGCCTTGAGTGGCCCTATCTGGAACAAAGCTGCTGATATTTCTTCCTCACAAAAGTCCCGACAGAGCTGTGTGTTCATTTCCTCCGTCACCTGGTTCTCAAACAAGCTAATTATGGGATCAGGGACTAGCGATGGGTCCCGTGTGTATACTGATTTGAAATATGAGACCGTCATTCTTTCCATCTCGCTCGGTGTGTCCTAAACTACACCATGTTCGTCCTTCAGCCGAACTATTTTATTTCTGCGCGTGCGCCACACTGCTCGCTGATGGAAAAATTTGGTGTTGCGGTCTCCTTCTTTGAGCCATGTGATACGCGAACGCTGGAGCCAGAGCATTTCCTCTCTGTAAAGAATTTCATTCATACGATCTGTAGTGCAGCGGATATCTTGGGCTGGCGCATTTGTGTTCCTTTGCTCAGAGAGTGTTCTGCGTAACTGGCTGAGCTCACGCATCACGTTGCCGAACTTGTGATTTCCCCATGCATGCATGCGATCCATCACCTCCTTGAGGGTTGCATGTACAGCCGCAAGGTCAGCTCGATTCTCCACAGACTGCCAAGCCTCAGCAATCACAGCAGGCAGCGCCTCTTCTCTTTCTCAACAAATTTCATATTGCTTGCAGCGCTGGGTACGAGTCGGCCGGTTCTCCTTGTTCAGTGACACCAGAACAGGGCAGTGATCAGACGCCAGTGACACGAGATGCACCACTGAAGTTTCAGAGAAAATATCTCTCCAGCTATCATCCGCTAGCGCACGGTCGAGCCGTACTTTAACATTACCATTCCTAGCTCTTCCATTATCAAAAGTATAAGGCAGCCCTTTAAAACCAAGATCATGTAATCCACACAAAAGCAAGGCATCACAGAAGGCAGCCATCAAGGACTCTGCACGTAGTGTTGCTGAGAAGTGTTCATACTACCAGAGAGCCTCATTAAAATCCCCCACTGCAAACCACGGCAGCGATGACGTAGCGCGAAGTGAACACAAGGTAGACCACATGTGCTGACGGTTTTCTTGCCTCGGTTCACCATAAACGAAAGTAGCATGCCACAATGGATCAGACGGTGACGCACGCATGTAAACATCGATAAATCTTTCATTCGAATCTTTTACTTCGACGTACATACTCTCATGCCAGAACAGTGCTAGCCCACCACTCAAGCCAATACAATCGACCCCAGCATAGCCACTAAGCCCTAAGCGGCTTCTAAGACGACGCATACGGACACTTTTTTGACGAGTTTCACAAAGAAAGATAACTTTGGGAAGATGTGCCTTTGATAGGACACACAGTTCACGAATTGTCGCGGCGTTCCCGGAACCACGACAATTCCAGCTTAGGACATTCATGTCTCCCGACGGGGCGCCACACTCGGCCCCGTCAGTTGACCGGCAGCCCCTAGGCCGGTTTCTTCCATAGACTTGCCCTCCACCTGTACTTGTTGCCCACCCTTGTTGGTTTTCACCTTCATATTACCCCGATTCTGGTTGTCACCAGACTGCTCGTCAGTAAACGAAACGGAGGCCAGGGAGTCAGTACTTTTCCCTAGTACTGAGGTAGCTACTGTCATCGTCATATCATAGTCACTAGAGGAGGTTTCCAGATTGCTCAGATCACGTATGGCCAGAATCATATCCACCGTATCCACCTCACACGCCAGGTTGTTTGCTTCATCCTCTTGCTGAATTTGTTGTCGTAAAATCCTTGTCATGTCAGCGGTCCACTGCTCAGCGACAATGGTAACAAGTGTGTTCGGGGTCACCGCCGCAGGGTTCACAGACTCCCCATCAGCCGGCTTCGGGCGGGTAGCGTCCACAAAGGGAGCCCCGTTGTCGCCCCCACCAGCGTCCAGGTTTACGGCAAACATCTCCGGGGTGATCACCATAGGTGGCACTGCCATTGCCGCTGCACTCGTCGTCTTCCACGGTCGCCGGGCCGGAAGGGACACTCGATCTGGTGGATCACAGGGCTTGAGGTGTGCTAGGGCGGTCACCCCATGGATCGATGAGTATTCACCAGCCGTCCCGTTATTATTCTTGGGGGGTAGACTAGGATTGGTGGTGTATGTGGACTCCCGCGGTTGTGTGAGAACGGGATTTGCCTTAGACTCCTTTGCGATCTGATCATCAACATGGCCGCCAAGAACACGAGGATCCAGCGGTGCGGGGGCGGACGAGGCCGCAACAAGTCCATAGTACGCCATTGCGGCGCACATGGAAACAGCGCCAGCGGCCGCGAGGCCAGGGCCAGGCGGCGGCGGCGGCGGTGGCGGGGGCGTCGCCCCTGAGTCGCCAAACCCTAACATATCGCAGAAAGCCGTGCTATTTGACGATCTATTATACATACATGCATAATTGCCATGAGTTAGATCTTGGATCCACCTACGATGTTAGAAGTTGACCATAGTGACTGTTTTCAACATTTTTGCAAGGCCTATGTGTTAAAGCCGAATAGATGAAAGGTACACTTTGTTCTTGGACTGCAAGGAAATCTTGCTAAAGGTGGTGGCAAGGCAATATATTAGTTCTCAATTTCTAAAAAGAGTGTGCAAGGAATAACATATACAATGCGAAAGTGCTAATGTGATCACGAGCTGAGTGGTCTCGTTATCTGTACCACATGCGTCTCTCGTGATGCGCGGAGGTGGTTCTGTCTTTCCATCTGGAATCTCCCGTCCATAATTTCTATTATGGCCCATGGCCCACCAGCCGGACACAATGATGGATACGCCGTCAGTCGACCGCACCACGGAACAGAAATTCGGTGTCGCGAATCAGAAATTTGTCGACGATGTGAGCCGGTTCCGAGGAGATTCTGGACTAACCGAGGCACCTACTTCCATTCAATGCAAATGCATCTTCCCGTTGGAGGCAGCAATCCCCCCTCCCCAATCTTCTTAATCCCCTCCACCTAGTCGATTCCTCACCCAGATCTGCAGCTACATCCTATCCAATCCGAGCCATTGCCAGCAACATCTCCTTCCCAACCATGTCCGCTTCATCGTCATCTGTAAGGTTAGGATGGGATCTTGCCCCTCGTTCCTTGTACATAGTGCGGCGGGCAGGTCTACACCTGGATTGCTCGATCTGGAGTGAACGGTGGGCATCGCTTCTACAAGTGTGTCAACAAGGATGTAAGTTATCTACCCAAAACTGGAGATGCTGGTTACCTATTCTTAAATGTTTATACTGATTTATGCTTGGGATCTCTGATTGCAGAGGTGTGGATACATGATATCTTCTGATTGCAGATTGTCCAGCTGTCCTCGTGCCCAGCTGCTGGCTAACCAGCTGGTTGCATATTGCCAAGTTGTCCCCGCGCATCTCCCGCTGGCAGCTTACTTGCACCGACGAGTTATACCTGGCGAACCAATCGAGCAATGAAAGCGGGGAGGGGAGATGGCGACATATGTCCGAGCGGAGCAGCTGCCATGGAAGGGGAAGGATCGGGCGTACCAGGCAGGTCTTCATGGCATGCACAATGATTGATAAGATAGTCTTATCTTAAGTCTTGCACGTAATTTAGAGATGACAAAAGGAAAAGTCTACAATGGGTCATCTCTTAGCCTTATCTTCAATAACTAGCCATTCCTAAAAATGTGATGAGACATATTGTGCTAAGAGATCATCTCTTTGTCTTCTCTTAAATAAGAGAGACAAGCCTTTTCTTATGAGTTCTCTCTCCTCCACCTCATCGTTTATCCTACGTGACACTTCTAAGATAGCACCATTGTACATGCTCTCGGGCTGACACGTCACGTGTGATTGCACTTGCGCTCACCAGTGTGGTTGGTACAGTCATAATGTCGTGTCAGCCCTTGTTTTGCCATGGACTGAACCACCAGAGTATATATGAACCACAACACACTTGTACATTACATGAATCATACGTTACGACACTGTTCACTGAAACATTTTAATCAACCATCGCCGAGTCATGCATAAGCAATCAATAAATAAATAGTTTCTCCCCCAGTCCAACTCCTGCATAAGATGATCACCATACAGACACCCCAAGACAAAGCAAGGCAAGTTGACATGCGGATATTCTTCAGACAAGTTCATCTTATTCTGAAAGAACACAACTCATAAGGATTCCGGATACATCACAAAATAAAAATACAGTACTCATTGTAGCTCAACATAACACAACGAGATCAGCTCTTGAGCCTGAGCTCGGCCACTTTGTGGTAGCTGTTCCTATGATGCCCTTCAACACCACAATTCTTGCATCTTCTAGGCTTTCGAGGCTGTTTTGGCACGTCCCCGCGATCAGGACACGTTGTTCACTTATGTCCCTCTCGTCTGTATATCATAGAAAATCTTGTTCTCTTACTGAGACCTTCGTGTGGCGCTTTCTCTCGACTTGTCGTATGCCTACCCATTTCCTTCCTCTTGGATGGAGGCAATAAGCCTGCCAGCAAATTCCTTGATTCATTTCTTGAATTGATATCATCGTTCACCATCGCTCCAGTCATCTTCACATCAACCCCCACTTGCTCACCTTCCGCTTGATCTTGGTTGACAACAACACCATTTTCAGCCATCCGGTCCTCTAGGCCTAGACCATCTCTAATCTCTGCAAATGGCTTCATTTCTTTAGCACAATGCTGGAACAATGCAACCAGATGTTCATATGCTTGTTGATACGTCTCCGTCGTATCTATAATTTTTGATTGTTCCATTCCAATATTCTACAACTTTTACATACTCTTGGCAACTTTTATACTACTTTTGGGACTAAGATATTGATCCAGTGCCCAGTGCCAGTTCCTGTTTGTTGCATGTTTTTTGTTTCACAGAAAATCCATATCAAATGGAGTCCAAACGGGATAAAAACTTACAGAGATTTTTTTGAAATATATATGAATTTTGGGAAGTGGAATCAATGCGAGACGATGCCCGAGGGGCCCACGAGGGTGAGGGGCGCGCCCGAGGGGGTAGGGCGCGCCCTGGGCCCTCGTGGCCACTCAGTAAGGCGGTTGGTGCCCTTCTTTCGCCGCAAGAAAGCCAATATCCGTATAAAAATCGTGTCAAAATTTCAGCCCAATCGGAGTTACGGATCCCTAGGAATTTAAGAAACGGTGAAAGGGCAGAATCAGGGAGCGTAGAAACAGAAGGAAACAGAGAGAGAGAGATCCAATCTCGGAGGGGTTCTCTCCCCTCCGCCGCCATGGAGGCCATGGACCAGAGGGGAGACCCTTCTCCCATCTAGGGGGGAGGTCAATGAAGAAGAAGAAGGGGGGCTCTCTCCCCCTCTCTCCCGGTGGCGCCGGAACGCCGCCGGGGCCATCATCGCGACAACGATCTACACCAACAACTTCACCGCTGTCATCATCAACTCTTCTCCCCTCTATGCAGCGGTGTAACCCCTCTTTTACCCACTGTAATCTCTACTTAAACATGGTGCTCAATGCTATATATTATTTCCCAATGATGTATGGCTATCCTATGATGTTTGAGTAGATCTGTTTTATCCTATGGGTTAATTGATGATCGTGATTCGTTTCAGTTGCATGTTTTATTATTGGTGTTGTCCTATGGTGCTCTCCATGTCGTGCAAGCGTGAGGGATCTCCGCTGTAGGGTTTGCAATATGTTCATGATTTGCTTATGGTGGGTGGCGTGAGTGACAGAAGCACATACCCGAGTAAGTAGGTTGTTTGCGTATGGGGGTAAAGAGGACTTGATGCCTTATAATGCTATGGTTGGGTTTTACCTTAATGATATTTAGTAGTTGCGGATGCTTGCTAGAGTTCCAATCATAAGTGCATATGATCCAAGAAGAGAAAGTATGTTAGCTTATGCCTCTCCCTCAAATAAGATTGCAATAATGATTACAGGTCTAGTTATTGATTGTCTATAGACAAATAACTTTCTCGTGACAAAAAGCTCTCTACTGAAACTAATTTAGTTGTGTCTTTATCTAAACAGCCCCTAGCTTTTATTTACATGCTCTTTATTATCTTGCAAACCTAGCCTACAACACCTACAAAGTACTTCTAGTTTCATACTTGTTCTAGGTAAGGCGAACGTTAAGCGTGCGTAGAGTTGTATCGGTGGTCGATAGAACTTGAGGGAATATTTGTTCTACCTTTAGCTCCTCGTTGGGTTCGATACTCTTACTTATCGAAAGATGCTACAATAGATCCCCTATACTTGTGGGTTATCAAGACCTTTTTCTGGCACCGTTGCCAGGGAGCAATAGCGTGGGGTGAATATTCTCGTGTGTGCTTGTTTGCTTTATCACTAAGTGGATTTTATTTGTTGTTCTAAGTTGTTCTCTATCTTTAGTTATGGATATGGAACACGAAATAGCAAAAAAATTAGATTTACTTGCTACTTATGGAGATGGGGAACCTCCTAAAACCCTCGATGCTCATTATGTGAAAGATATTATGCACTACTTTAACAATCCTGAGAAAACCCCATTTAATTATATAATGGGAGACACGTTGCATCAACGTGAATACTTTAGGGATTACCGCTTTACTCAAAAGGGAAACTATTATGGGATCAAATTTATATGTTGCATTGGTATGCTCGGCAACTATGCTTGAGATATGATTATACTTGTTGCTCTAGGATGAAGGCTCCACAACTTCCCTTTTAATGTAAATTTAATGATAATGAAACCTTAGCTTCTTATGCTAATGGTATATATGATTACTATGATGTGCAACGAATAGAAGAATTTGTTGCTTTTAAGGGTTCTTGTGAAATTGAATCTTTGTTTAAAGAGTTTGAAGATTTTGATGATTCAGTTTATTGACCTAAAAATTTAGCTATCCTTAAATATAGCTATGATAATTATAAATACAATTATGATATTGATGAATTTATTGAGAAAGTCTCCGCTGTCCGAGAAGAGACTAAATTTTGCAGGAGTCTATGGAAGAAGAATTGATGAAACTGTGAGCTCATTGGATGAAAAAGATGATGGGGAGAGCGAAGAACAAAAGGAGGAAGATTGGATTAGCTACCCGTGCCCACCTTCTAATGAGAGTAACTCTCCAACTCATACATTATTTAATGTCCCTTCGTTCTTACCGAAGGATGAATGCCATGAGAATTGCTATGATCCCGTTGATTCATTTGAAATGTCCCTTTTTGATGAACTTGATGTTTGCTATTCTTATGGCCAAGATGCCAATATGAATTATGCTTATGGAGATGAACTTGCTATTGTTCCTTATGTTAAACATGAAATTGTTGCTATTGCATCCACACATGATAGTCCTATTATCTTTTTGAATTCTCCAAACTACACTATATCAGAGAAATTTGCACTTATTAAGGATTATATTGATGGGTGGCCTTTTACCATTGCACATGATAATTTTGATGAATATAATATGCATGTGTTTGCTGCTCCTACTTGCAATTATTATGAGAGAGGAACTACATCTTCGCCTCTCTATGTTTCCAACACGATAAAATTGCAACAAACTTCTTATGCTATGCATTGGCCCTTACTTGATGTGCATGAATTGTTCTTGTATGACATGCCGATGCATATGAAGAGAGTTAGACTTCGTCATTGCTTGATATATGTTGCTTTGTGCTCACTACTAAATTCCAAATCACTTCTAATTCAAATTGGCTTTGATATACCTTAGGATCTGGGTGGATTCATTACTTGAGCACCTTATGCCTAGCTTAAGGGCTTTAAAGAAAGTGTTGCCAGGGAGACAACCCGGAAGTTTTAGAGAGTCATTTATTTCTGTTGAGTGCTTTTATAGAGTTTAAAAACAAAAAAAATAAAGAGGGGAACCCAAAACTTTTCAAAAAGGAAAGTCAAAGTGAGAGAGACAAGCATTGTTGAAGTGAGGGAGCTCCTTGAACTTTGTTCATGCTCACGGAAACTTTGTGAATCTTGATTACAGAAACTTCTCAACAAAAATAATTATCCCCTTGTACAATTCCATTGTATTATAAAAATAATGTGCCAAGATTTGCCTTTAGGATGTTTACATTGCTTGTTGGTTTGTGCGGTGCAAAATAGAAACTTTGGCTGTAGTGCGTGATTTTACATTTTTTACTGGAACATCAAATGGTTCTGAAACATTTTGCACTGTCTTTCTATACAAATTGTTTTTTTCCTAATTGTTTTCAGAATTTTTGGAGTACCAGAAGTATGGTGAATGTTCAGATTACTACATACTGTCATGTTTAAGTCAGATTTTGTTTTTGATGCATTGTTTGCTTGTTTTGATGAAACTATCGATTTCTATCACTTGATTAAGCCATGGAAAAGTTATATTACAGTAGCTACAATGCAAAAAATATATGAATTGGTTTGCAACAATACTTAGAGTAGTTATTTGCTTTATTATACTAACGGATCTTACCGAACTTTCTGTTGAGTTTTGTGTGGATGAAGTG